AGGCTTAGAAAAATTATGAATTTTTTTCGAAATTTTTTCTCTTAGACCACCTTTATTCTTTTTCTATAAGATCAGTAAGTATTAGAATTTAATTGGGTTTGGGAATCAAAATCGCATTTTCGAAAAAATAACGACTTTTCTGAGGGGCAATTTCTGACAAGAAAGTAAGACTATAGGCTTAGAAAAATTATGAATTTTTTCGAAAATTTTTTCTCTTAGAACCACCTTTATTCTTTTCTATATGACCAGTAAGTATAATAATTTAATTGGGTTTGGGAATTAAAATCCCATTTTCGAAAAAAATAACGACTTTCTTGAGGGGTCGATTTCTGACAAGAAAAGTAAGACTATAGGCTTAGAGAAATCATGAATTTTTTTCGAAAAAAATTCCTCAAAGAAACAGCTTCAGTCTCTCTGTATGGTAGTATAGTATAATAATTTAATGTGGGTTGGGAATTAAAATCGTATTTACGAAAAAATAACGACTTTTCTGAGGGGTCGATTTCTGACAAGAAAGTAAACTATAGGCTTAGAAAAAGTCCTGAATTTTTTTCGAAAAAAATTCCTCAAAAAAACAGCTTCAGTCTCTTCTCTATGATAAGTAAGTATAATAATTTAATTGGGTTTGGGAATTAAAATCGTATTTTCGAAAAAAAATAACGACTTTTCTGAGGGGTCGATTTCTTACAAGAAAGTAAGACTATAGGCTTAGAGAGATCATGAATTTTTTTCGAAAAAAATTCCTCAAAGAAACAGCTTAGATTCTCTTCTATATTATCAGTAGATTATAATAATTTAATTGGTTTGGGAATTAAAATCGCATTTTCGAAAAAAAGAACGCTTTTCTGAGGGGTCGTTTTCTGACAAGAAAGTAAGACTATAGGCTTAGAAAATTATGAATTTTTTTCTCTTAGAACCACCTTTATTCTTTTCTATATGATCAGTAAGTTAATAATTTAATTGGGTTTGGAAAAAAAAAATAACGACTTTTCTGAGGGGTCGATTTTTGACAAGAAAGTAAGACTATAGGCTTAGAGAAATCATGAATTTTTTTCGAAAAAAATTCCTCAAAGAAACAGCTTCAGTCTCTTCTGTATGATAAATAAGTGTAATAATTTAATTGGGTTTGGGAATTAAAATCGCATTTTCGAAAAAATAACGACTTTTCTGAGGGGTCGATTTCTGACAAGAAAGTAAGACTATAGGCTTAGAAAAATTATGAATTTTTTTCGAAAATTTTTTCTCTTAGAACCACTTTTATTCTTTTCTATATGATCAGTAAGTATAATAATTTAATTGGGTTTGGGAATTAAAATCGCATTTTCGAAAAAAAAACAACTTTTCTGAGGGGTAGATTTCTGTTAAGAAAGTAAGGCTATAGGCTTAGAAAAATCATCGATTTTCTCGAAAAAAATTTGATTAAAAAGCAGCTTAATTCTCTTCTATAAGATCAGTAAGTATTAGAATTTAATTGGGTTTGGGAATTAAAAT